GATTTTTGTGTTTTTTTTGTTCGCAATTGTATTTTCTCTCAACTTGAAGGGCTACCACGGGTCATACCCTTGCCTGGACATAGTCATATTTGTGTTTTCTGGACTCGTCCAGGCATACAGATTTTGAAAATATATAGTTTACCCATACCTACAACTCACAGAACTCGAGTTATGGCTCGTTGTTTGTACGCGTGTTTGCGTGACCACCCCTCACATACGTTGAGTAAGACCCACAAAGGGTTAATCCATTTTGCCCCACTGTATTTTCGCTTGTTGAGAGCGGTGTTAGCTTTCGTCGATACCCCTGGCGGGGGGAGGGGATGCCAACTTGGCCAGGTGATGGTGTGGAGATGCTAGCGATGGCTGTGAGAAAGCCTTTACAGGTCGACGTGTTCCTTGCAATATCCGGAGGTGCTAAATCCCCGGGAAGATCTCCCAGTTTTGTGGACGTTTTTGAAGTATCACCCTACCTCCGGATCCCCCGGCCTGCTCAGCCAGGAGTAGGCTGTCATAGATGGAGTGCCATCCATAGGTAATGTAATACATATAAAATAATAGTAGTTTGTATTAGCAAGATCAAAGAAGTACACAAGAGAGATTGGTAGCTGTATTAGCAAGAGTACATAAGTAAGTTGTCATAACCCCCGTGGTTATGTACTCTTAGTCTTAGTTGTGTACGTGTGCTTCTCTCGCGACGGGTACGGGCGTATATGGTGGTGTGGTGTGTTTGTGCGTGGCATTTAATCGTTTCAATACATGCGAGAAGACATGCTGTGCGCCTGTCACGTTGCAAACTTGTCGTCACCCTTTACACCCACTAAAAGCCTAAAACTTAATACGTAAAAGGTGTTGGGCGCGAAGACTGTACTGTGTACATGTAGGAGCGCTACTTATACCAGGCTCTAGACTAGAGAGCTAACGGTTACATGTAACGCCTTGGGAGAGTTGTCGCACTGTGTTGCTGTTGTTATTTGTGATCTTTAACATCGAAAAATCAAACGGGCAGGCTTGCCTCATAGTTATAATGACGACGATGTAGACTTGTAGCTTTAGTACAAAAGTACAATGTGGAAACTGTCGGAGATACGGCTATACGCGGCTTGATGACACTTTTAATTAAGAAGAAAAGGATAAAGACTGCAGTGATACAGTCATGTAGGTTTTCCATAGGGTATTTTGTCACCTTTTTTGGTCAGGAACGCAGAACTATGCAGCCTAGTCTAGTCATGACAGGCACAGACACCCAGTACTAGTGGGCCGGTACCAACAGCGGCACTGCCACTACGGCACTAGCACGAAAGGTGGGTGCTAGATTTCGCTCCTGGACTCAGGCTGGAGATCACACTTGCATGGCACTGGGAGAGGTGCAGGAGAAAATCCCTTGGTATGATGAGTGACAGAGTCCACCGTACGTGTGTTTCTGTAGTCTTATAATAATTATTATGTACAGTCCTGCTCGTGGAAATCGGATCAGCGTGAGTCAAGTTGGTTTGCGCCCGCCGCCACTTCAGTCACATCTCAGGCAGTGTTCATTACAATGACTGCACGGCGGCCAGGATAGCTCTTTGCGGAAAATGCTCGAACAAACTTGGCAGATTCTGCTCGAAAAGCAGAGAAATTGGCAGAACCGAACAAAACTTATGGCGGGCACCTCCCTGAATTCTGATGAATTTCTTTATCCACATGCAAAACATGCAAGGCGCATAGCAGAAAATTACCAAATTCTGCCTAGATGTATCTTTCTTCCGACATTATCCGCATAGGGCTAGACCAGGGTGACATTGACTTTAGGGCTGCAACGATTATACCAATTGCTCGGTAAACGATCGATAATTCCGATCAATACAATCAACTACCGGCGCCCTGAAGTACCGGTAATCGTTACGTTTGTGTGAAGTCTGAATGCGTTTCCGCTGTGAGTATGCAGTTGTCAGGGGTGTGGTTCATGTTGTGAGGTTCAATTGGCTTCAAAACCGCCATGTTTCGTAGCTATCCTTTCACTAATACAGACTTGTTGGTATTATGAAGACAAAGCTTGTGGAAACAGAGTAGTTTTGCACAAACTCCTGACACTTTTAGGCTTTCCCCAAATCGCCTCTTTCGCATGTATTCGGCTTTTCGCTTGCTTTTCGCTTAGCTCAAAAATACATCAGATTCGGCTGCAAAATAAGATCCGGCTGCGAAATCAGCTGCAAAATTGGAATATATTGGAAAATCGGCTAAAAGAATTGTTGGCATATTGGCTTAAAAATTGGTGAGATATTGGAAATACATGTACATGTACATGTACAGCTCTGCTAGATAGAACTGGCCACAACTGTACGTTGTACGTTGTAGTGTAGTATTTTACCAGTAATAATCTTCCTATTAATGGCTAATTGTTGTTTGAGAGGAGGTCAAAGGACACGAGTCACACGCCATCGACGCACTAGTGCTACACGTACTGAAGTAGAGAGCTCCAGCGGTCATGCTAGCAGCAACATCATTCGTTCCTGATAATTATTATAAACGCACTTTGCAACAAACAACATTTGCTGTAGATTTTCGGCGATTCTCAAAGGAACCCTTAATAATCCGCGGAAAGCTTAGCGATTTTTCGATAAATCTCGTTTTCGGCGAATGTTTCGGCTGGCCGATTTGGGGAAAGCCTATACACTATTTGCTAATGATTGTAATCGATTAAAATCATTCGTTAAGCCAAAGAGTAATCGATACGTTCAAATCCACGATCGTTTCTTTCAGCCCTAATTGACTTGCTTGATCGGATTTCATTGAGCACGTCTATACATGTAAGTACATGTACATGTACATGTCACTCCAATTTCAGAAATTTTAGGTGCTCAATATTTTCGGTATGAGGGCAAAAGGCCAGGTTAGGTGAACAGAAATTTTCGGTACAGGGCTAGGGAAGCTGTTCCCTATTGGATTACATGTATGTGTGTTAGTGTTTGTTCGGTGTATTGAAATTTTAGATATGAAGCAGATGCACCGAAAGTACCGAAAATAAAAGTACACCGAAAATTTGTGAAATTAGAGTACTTCGAACTTTTGAGTACATTGTGCATTGCACTCCAGTTCATTGTGCATTGCACTCCAGTTCATCTGTACAGAGAATTTCATCATGGCATGGGTTTCGGATATTGCGATTTGAAAGTGAGCTTTGTGTAGACAATGTTCTTGTCTTGTGGATCCATTAAAATTAAAATTTAATAGATAAAAACAAAATACATGTGCAAGAATGGACTCGGATGGAGAGCAAAAGATTAGTTTACACGAAAGAAAAGGGACCAAGGAACTACAAGTTACGCAATAATGTCCACTACAGTATTCTAAACACCGCCAGTTACTAAACAATCAGCTCATGCGATGACATTGCACAACACTGACCGACGGCACTAGTGACGTTCTACAACTGTACATGTAACTGAAGCTGTTGGAGTGCGCATCCACAATGTGCTAGGGCTGCTAGCCAGTTACATTTTTTGTTATGTAGTTGTAGAACGTCAGTACCGTCGGTCAGTGTCGTGCAATGTTATCGCATGAGCTGATTGTTTAGTAAATGGTGGTGTTCGTGGACATTATTGCGTAACTTGTAGTTCCGTTTTTCTTTTGTACAAAATACATGTACATGCACTAGGATACAATCATGTACAATGTAGATTCTACCATCATCACCCCACAACAACGAAGTCATGAAGGTTCTCCAAAATCGAGTTTCATGTCAACTACATCGGACTCCGTTGTTGTGTGGTGATGACGGCATCATTTATTCTCTTTATTGCTATTCCAAGTATATTTCCGGATATCCCAAGAGAATGTACATGTAAGTCAAGCGGACGTTAGGCAAAGAACAAAGGGAATACTCCAATTTCAGAAATTTTCGGTGCTCAATATTTTCGGTATGAGGGCAACAGGCTAGGTTAGGTGAACGGAAATTTTCGGTACAGAGAGAGCAGTTCCCTATTGGTTTATGTGTGTTAGTGTTTGTTCGGTGTATTGAAATTTTAGGTATGAAACAGACGCACCGAAAGTACCGAAAATAAAAGTACACCGAAAATTTGTGAAATTACAGTACGTGGAAACTTAGCGTTCCTAATCGATTTCCTTGAGACTATCATCAGGGAAAAGTCGTCTCACAACAGAAGCTATGCGGGGAAGCAAACTAACTTCTATGTCTAGAGGATTGTGGTAAGTATAAAGGTGAGTAAAAGTGGGGAGGCTTCCTGCAGTTTCATAAATAGTTAAGAGTAGAGCCCACACGCTCGCTTCCATTAACACTGCAATAATTCAACTCATTTCACAATCATTAACACAATTACACAATGTTTCGGCAAATTGCCTTCATGAGGTTCACAATTATACTACTTGAAGTATTCATTCCGGACTCGTTTAAACTAACATACTTCTCTCCTTGATGTGTTATGAACAATGTTATGCCTTGCATTCTCTTGAGATATCCGGAAATATGCTTGGAATAGCGTGGAAGCAGGTGAATGTGATAGCGTGAGTAACTGTGTCCGGGTGTAGGTGTATGTGAATGTATGCGTGTGTGGATGCTAGGTGCGAAGAGTGTGAGATGACTTTCACTGATGTCGATAGTCTCAAGAAAATCGATTAGGAACGCCAAGTTTCAACGTACCGTATTCTCTTTGTTCTTTGCCTAATGTCCGCTTCACTCATACTTGTTATCGCCATAGTAATAATACTTATAGTACACTGTTACAGTAACCCGACTGTTATTGTCTTCTCGTCGCCGGGTCCGGAATGATTGAAAAATTAAAATTGAAGAGAAAGTCATAAATAGAGAGGTTAAGATGCACGTTATTTCCGACAAGACGCGCAATTTCACGTCGAACTTGGCGTAAAACTCCAAATTTCGACGTGAGCAGCAGGTGGCTCGCGTTGATTTTTCGACGTGCGAGCAAATAAACGCGAGCTGAACTTTCGCGTCACGTCGGAAATAACGTGCATCTTAACCTCTCTAATACAGAGGCTAGTCAACTTATGACTAAAATTAATACTATAGTGAATAGGCAAATTGTTAGAAGCATTTTTACCGCTTTTTAGGGACATCAGGATCGCCGGAACTGCAGTTTTCAATTGATCCGGTCCTACCATAGTCTTTCCTGCTTTGTTTATAATATGGGGGGAGGGGGGGGGGCATTATGCCCTCCTCAGCGTTGGTAGCTACAAAGTTTGTCCGGCGTAAACCTGACCAAGTGGACCGGTTCCGGCGGGCCTGGACATTGATAGTGCTCAGCACACATCATAAAGCCAGAACGGCTAATATGGATGGCGCCAGCAACCAGGTGCATGGCGTGAATTGGCCTGCACCTGACCCGGTCTCTCCTAGCTCTCCGTGGTTCACCAGCACACTGCTCATGTTGCCCTGTGCTTGGCTGACGTCTGGCAACGTTACGGCAATAGCGGCAGTTGGCCGCTGTGTCAGTCGACTGTCTGTATGGGCCGTGGATGTATTGTTAGCCTCCTTGTTGGTCTCCATCTGCTGAGAAGCTACTTGCTGGACAGCCGATGATGGCTGCTGGGCAGTTGATGGTGGCTGCTGGGCAGTAGTTGATGGCGGATCTGCAGGGAAGAAATCATTGCAATGCAGACATCAAGAGTGAATACCGTACTTGTGCGACTTGTGAAAGTTTGTCTCATAGATGCAGAAGCCTGTAGTGAGCACAAGCCTGGTTTCAAAATGCACTCTCAGCACGTAAGCCTGGGTTTAGTGTTATTATTAAACATACAAAACACAGTGCCACCTTGCGCATGCAAAAACAAGAGCATTGTTATTTTTAAGTAGTGTAACTGTTGGTCAAGTCCGTCACGTCTGTCCGGTGACTTCTCATGTTCAGATCAAGTCAGGCCGGGACGATAAGTGTGATTTGTCATTTGCCATAGAAATGCCTGGTATTATTGAAAGACTGTATGGAAGATAGGCCTTGCCATGACATTGGCTTCTACAGAAATCAGCCATGGCACCCTTACAAACTCATAGCAACCATTCATGATTCTATAATAATAATATTACTATTTGAATCTGGAAAGGATTGGGAGAACTTCAAATTCAAAGGATCAGTCGGGGAAGTGAACTGCCTGAAAAGAGAAAAAACGCCAGACCCACCAGGACTCGAGCCTGGGACCCTGCTTGTCATGAGCAATGCTCTAACCACTGAGCTATGGGACCAGGCTGAACCTAGAAGGCGCTGACAAGTTTTTCACTCCAAAGGCAGCTCACAACACGTGCCACACATACTGATGGCACTTGGGTCTTTTTCCCTCCCCCAGGGGACCAACCACGGTCAGTTTCTGGAAACTACCAGAGGTGAGAGAAAGTGATTCAATTTGGAAAGGATTGGGAGAACTTCAAATTCAAAGGATTAGTCGGAGAAGTGAACTGCCTGAAAAGAGAAAAAAACGCCAGACCCACCAGGACGGAGTGAAAAACTTGTCAGCGCCTTCTGGGTTCAGCCTGGTCCCATAGCTCAGTGGTTAGAGCATTGCTCATGACAAGCAGGGTCCCAGGTTCGAGTCCTGGTGGGTCTGGCGTTTTTTTCTCTTTTCAGGCAGTTCACTTCCCCGACTGATCCTTTGAATTTGAAGTTCTCCCGATCCTTTCCAAATTTAATCACTTTCTTTCACCTCTGGTAGTTTCCAGAAACTGACCGTGGTTGGTCCCCTGGGGGAGGGAAAAAGACCCAAGTGCCATCAGTATGTGTGGCACGTGTTGTGAGCTGCCTTTGGAGTGAAAAACTTGTCAGTGCCTTCTAGGTTCAGCCTGGTCCCATAGCTCAGTGGTTAGAGCATTGCTCATGACAAGCAGGGTCCCAGGTTCGAGTCCTGGTGGGTCTGGCGTTTTTTCTCTCTTTTCAGGCAGTTCACTTCCCCGACTGATCCTTTGAATTTGAAGTTCTCCCAGTCCTTTCCAAATTTAATCACTATTTGAATCTATTAATAATTATCTGGAAACTCAAATTCATACTTTATAATTATCTGGCCACCCATTGACCATGATGCTATATGAAGAGACAATCATCGAAGCGTAATGCAATGTATCAAGCTGTTGCCAAGTTTGCCGCCTCTGGGTTTCTGAACCTACACAAGCCGTATCCATGCATTTGTGGTGTCTTCTGCAAGCTACACTGCATATGCAAGGCGGGTACGAGACCCATATGCAGCACGTGCATTATACAAGTGTACTTTTTTTTAACTGATCACCTTGATGATAATTTTGTCAATGGTCTCACGATAATACTGCCTTTAAAATCCTTTTTTCCTCAAATCTAGGTCTAGGCTGCGCATTACACTATGGATATACAGTGAAACCTGGTTAGGAAGAACACTGATAAGACAAATGTTTGCCTAAGAAGAACTAGTATTTGTAACTGCATTGGATAAAACCCTGTGTATTCACTGGGTAAAACATATGGATAAGAAGAACTCCCGTTATTGCGAACAAAATATCATCGGTCCCTTGATGTTCGTCCTAAAGAGGTTTGACTGTACCCTGAATTGCCAAAACCTTGATCAAAGGTGGGGGGGGGGGGGCATTGTGCTCAGGTAAGTGTCATACTCCAGCAAACACGGTACATGTTACTGGTCTTTTCACCTGCCCGACTTCGTTGAGTAATCAACAGGATTAGACCATTACATGGTGATGACCAGCAGAGGAGAACTAGTAGGCTAGGATGTCATCACGTGCGCAGCATACTGATAATAATAATATACATGTATATACACAATGACCCTACTACGGATGCACTGCAGTATGTCAGATATCAGAACAGCTAGGATGTTGTTTTCACCCGAAATGGAAGACTTCTCCCGTGCAACCTTGTTATGCTAATACTGGAAATTACTTTGTGTTTTAACATGACATCATGATGACATCATGATGACCTACCCAGTGAATCTCTCTCGCAGACAACTGGCTTGGTTTGCTGACAGGTTCGATATGTGACTGCCTTGGTCGAAGCTCTCAAGTATCCGCAACGGATGCCTCTGAATGACGAACTGACTTGCTTGGTGAACACCTCTATTGCGCCCAAGCCACGGCTGACTAGCGGTTGTGAGGTCAGCAGGCGCTGCATGCAGTTGATGTCTGACTGGGTCGTGTCAGGAAGCTGGCTACCAGTGTAAAGACGTTCACAAGTGTCTGCGGCATGCTGTCTTGAAAACGCAATCGGATGGTAGATATACTCCTTGTTTTTGCATGTGACGGACACAGTTCTTTGTGCCAAGGCTGAGGGAATCAACACAACATTGTAAAAAGAATATTTTCAATGAAAAAGGAAACAGGCCATTTTTTTCATAAGCTGGTTGCATTGCTCTACATCATTGTGTAGCGGGTAGCTTATAATGATCGACTTCATTCCCATATACCATGAAGCGCAACTCCCTTTATGGATACAGTCACACTTGTAAAATTAGAACCTCAGAAATTTCAACAACTCTCTGATAACAAAACCATACATGCCAACCTTTTTTCTTTCCTTTTTTTAACTTTGTTTTACTTTGCAAAATCCAAATGGGAATTTCTTCCCAATGACAAGGTAGCGAAGAGAGAAGAAAAAAACAAAAAAACCTGGAGGCTTGAGTTCCCTGGACAACGAGGCTAAATTCCCTTGATTTTGACCCTTTCCCCTCAACACCAATTGTTTTAGCGCATCCATCATTAGCAGATGTATTTGACTGGTGCTCAAGCCAAAAAAAAAGGATGTCATTGCATTGCATTGAGCTGTAACTGCACACAAGTACAATTTCTGTTCATTACCAGTACACCGGCGATCTGTTGCCGTTCCATATGTTGTAGTCTACTACGTGCTATTATGTGCTGTGTGTACTTAAAACAGATCTAAATGTTTGAGGAAATACTGAAAAAGGAGAAACACATCTATATAAAAGTTCCACCTGAATCCCTGGACTTTCGCAGGACATCCCTGGACCCCGGGACAACACACCCCATTCCCTGGACTCTCCCAGGAAACCCTGGACGGTTGGCATGTATGCAACACTATCTTCAGACCCAGCAACTGCTGGAATCCTTACTTTCATTTTCTACGGCACATAGAGCATGTCCAATGTGTTGACTGAGGATGCATGACATAATTATATTTTGGTGCAAGAAAAGATCTACGGTTCCCCTGCCACCACCCCCCCCCCCCCCGCCTTAAAGTGGGCGGCCTTTTCGGAGTCTGTGGGACCTTTCACCACTCAAGCATCAAAGCAAATGTGCATCTGAAATATGGCATCATTATGAACTATTTTGCAGGCAAAAACACATTATAATATTTTCTACGCTTCATTACATTTGTCGCTTCGCCCATTGCAACGTTTGTGCCTCGCGGAGCCCTCTCCCCCAACAAACAAATTCATCCCTTTCCACACTATTCCGCCCCAGAACAGCTCATCTTTTTTCTGCGGTTCGTGCCCACCCACATCGTTTGATTGGGCATTTGTCAAGACTGCAAGCTCGCGTACAAGAATCCTGGTATCTCGCTTGAATTTCAAACTGCTGAAGTTGACGATGGCACGGACAGAGTGTTAACAAACTCCTAAAAATGCCACGTGTGTTGCGTGTTGCTGCGAAGGCATTAAGCATGAAAGCACCAACAAAACCAACAAAGTGCTTGTCAAGGGAAGAAGGTGCTGACCTGATCTCGCTGCAAATATGGTACGGTGTTCCTCAAACAGCTACCGTATTTCCCCAGAATGTAAGTTGCACCTTTTTACACTAAACCTCCTACTTATGTGAGTGTTTGAACAGGCGGCGAGGTGACAAAAGTCTAAGGATGGCAATAAACCAAATCAGCTGAGGCGTCATTTCACGAAGGTTTTATTGAGATGTGCCATCATAATTATTTCTTTGTCCATCACCACTTCCCGTAGAATTTGTTCGTGACATCTCAATAAAACCTGCGTGAAATGATGCTTCAACTGAATCGGTTTATTGCCATCCTTAGACCTATGTGAATGCATTGAAACATTTTGGTTCAGACCTGGAAATGGGTTGGGACTTATAATTGGGGACACACGGTAGGTGTCCATTGCCTGCCAAGCTGAGGCATGGAGTGCTTGAAAAGGAGGTTTCCTGACCTGAATTTGAACGCGCGTCCTGCTCAGTGTCTTGTGATGTGCTATAATCGTGAACAGACCGAGTCTGCCTCAAACCCTGATGAAGATGCCAAAGTCCGTCACCATGGGTGCTGTGAAGCATTGGGCCACAAGGTCACAGGCGACTATGCTCTGGCTCAAGCGGATCGCTTTGATTCGAGTGGACGAAAATGGAATTGGAATATCACCCTGGGAAGCAGCACTTGTAATGACATGGGGGAGGTACAGTCGACTCCTGATATAACGAACACCATTGTGCAGGAGAAGTAGTTCTTTATAGCCAAAGTTTGTTACAACACAAACGCACTCACACTATACAAGCAGCAAGTCATGACTGGCAAGTGGCCCAAAACAGTATGAGTAATTATTTGTTGCCATCTTCCATAGGGCCGTCAAATAGCAAAAAAATAGGTTTCAAATAGGTTGTCAGGAGCAATACTACTTGCTTTCGTGGAGCGTGGCTGGTGAACTGTTCATGCTGTTGTCTGCAAGCGTCGTATGGTCTCGTCGGGTCAAATGAAAAACCTAATTACAGTATGAGTGCACTTGGTTTGCATGCGACCCTGCAAGATTTGATTCACTACGAACGAAAACTGTCAAATTTGTATGGGTTCAAACAGGGACATGGACAGGGGTTCGCTATATCATCACAAAATTCGCTATACAGGTGCGAGTTCATTTTTAGTGAAGTCGACTGTACATAATATCTCACCTGTATGCCGCTGACAAATGAACGGCTGGCGTGGTTCTCCACTGCAGCTATTCGGACGTATGGTTCTTAAACCATCGGACGAAACTGACACGGCTGCACACCTAGGTCCAAATCTACCGAACTGCAGTAGCGATGACCGACTATTATAGTCCGGCAGCGAGCGGAAACTGTCGTCCAGAGATGCGGTGATGCCGAAGTGCGCTTGCGCGCCATCCAACTCTCTCACGGCAGCCAGGCAAGCTGCACCGACCGTGGCAGGATCAGCTATGGCCAGATGTCCGCCAGCCTGTTGGCAGTGCTCCTCAGCTTCAGTCCAGGTTTCTCTGGCGTTCACAGCCACAAGAAGGTCGATACCTCCCAAGCAGGTACGCCATGTACCACCACCTGTGAGAATAACACCATTCGTCCACAACATGAATATATGTTGGACTAAGTAGTGCGTTTCGCTGTACATGCACCTGTCTCTTCTTCTGCCTCCCTAGTTGCTGCCAAAGCTGGCACTTCCCGTCATTAATTTTATAGTCTTTAGTTCTTTAATATTATTATTTGCCATGGCGACCCCCGTAAGCCCAAATAGCTGGCAGGGCAGGGTTGGGCCTTTTTTTTCTTTTACTTCACAGGTGTAGCATTTTATCAGTCATTACGTATGATTTATACAGTGGCAGTACCAGGCGTGGGCCATCCCCTGGATTATCAAAATGGGTGCCTTATCATTTTTTTTCTGTTGTTTTTACACTATCTGTATCATGTACTAAGTAGTGCGTCCAGCCCCTATATGATGTCCACCCCTCTATATAGAGTCCATTAATCCAAAATCCACTGTACACAGTCCAAACTTGGAATCAACTGTGAGTTCAAAGTTTAGATGGACACCACTCCCTGTATAGAATCCAGCCAATTGGCTCCCCATAGAGTTTATTGGTCCAAAATGAAAAACCCGGTAAGTGCCAAATTTGAGAAAGTCTGATTTTGAGCTCAGTGTAACCCAACGGTCTAACACTACCAGGCAAGATTTCATATTCAAAATCTGACTAGAACCATTTCAAAACTGGAACCCAGATTTGGATTTAGATACCAATTGCACATAAGATTAACTGTTCTTGGCCATTATCTGAAACGTAATGAAATGGATTTGGTGGGTTTTGCATTCCGGCTCTTCAAATTCAAACAAACTGTATAACTAGTATGCCGTAATGTTGGGTAACCAGTATGGCCGCGGTCCGTGACACAGGAAACGTTTGCACCGCTTTTGCGGAGGCGAAAAGCGTAACTCCAACGGCCGCTTTCCTGGGTTCTAGGCAAAAACCAACTGCTGGCGTGATTATTTGTCGCAATTTGCCAGTCTTGTGACAATGGGCTGTTCCATGTACTCTACATTCATGTCTATGCACAAGATCTGATCTTGCATGAATAGACTCAGATGGAGAGCCAAGGTTTAATTTATACAAAAAAAGAAAGACCAAGGAACTACAAGTTACGCTATACTGTCCACTAACACCACCAGTTGCAGTCAGTGTCAGTGTCGTGCAATGTTATCGCATGAGCTGATTGTTTAGTAACTGGTGGTGTTAGTGGATAGTATAGCTTAACTTGTAGTTCCTTGGTCTTTCTCTCTTGTATGAATAGATAATTATTTATCAGCAAAAAAAGGAAGAAAGGCAACCGACCGGCTTTTTTGGCCCACTATGCGGAAACAAAGGACTTTTTCCGAAAGGCCCTCGTATTCTAAACTGGATATTGCTTATACTTTAACATGATGTCATGATGATGTCATGATGATGTCATGATGACCTACCCAGCGGATCTCTCTCGCAGACAACTGGCTTGGTTTGCTGACAGGTTCGATATGTGACTGCCTTGGTCGAAGCTCTCAAGTACCCGCAACGGGTGCCTCTGATTGATGAGCTGACTTGCTTCGTGAACACCTCAATCGCACCCAAGCCGCGGCTGACTAGCGGTTGCGAGTTCAGCAGGCGCTGCACGCAGTTGATGTCTGACTGGGTTGTGTCAGCAAGCCGTCCACCAGTAGAAAGACGTTCACAACTGTCCGCGGCGTGCTGCCTTGAAAACGCAATCGAATGGTAGATATACTCCTTGTTGTTGCATGCCAGTGAGACATCTATTTGTGCCGTACCTGAAGAAATACACACAACACATTGAAACGTTCACTGGTTTGAGGGAAAGACACAAACGGGAAAGGGCTGAAGAAAAAATTGACTGTCACCACCAGGTGTCGAACCAGGGACCCTCGCTTGTAGCCAGCGATGCTCTAACCACTGAGCTATGGTGTAGTCATCACATTGAAAATAATCATTATTTTCCCTTCGACCTGGATATTTGGATTGTTGAATTTGAGCGAGGTGTGACTGAGTTACGACCTGTTGAAGTTTCGCAAACGAAATGTGTAGAATTCTACACATTCAAGTATGGGTCGGCTTCTAAAGGTAGATCAAGAACACGTGGAGCATTTATCTCTAAGCAGGGGTCGTCCGTATTTTTCGAAAAATTAAAAAATCCGTCCTCTGGCAGAAAGGGGGTGGGTGGTCAAGAGCGCTGGCGGAATTTAATTTTTTGATTTTTCGTACTTTTTTTTTTTTTTTTTCGTCAGTGACTCATGCACTCGATCGTTGCACTGACTCGCAGTGCACTGTATTTATTTATTTATTTTATTTATTTATGGATTCCCCAAAGGCCGAGGCCTAAGTCGAGGGGGTCTCCGTTCATGGCTTACTGGGAATATATCTGCAAAATTATAACATATAGATTGAGAAGAGGAAGGGTTATAACAAATTAGGGGTGAAACGGTTCCATGTTTTTCATGTTCGGGTACCCGAATGCCAGCATTGTTTCCCACGGTTCGGGTATCGGTTCCATGCACTCTTTTCTCCAGACCGATAAAATGCGTTCGCGACAATTATTTTTTAGAAAAAACATTTTTACGAGCAAGAATGAGACATCGGAGAGTCCAAGTGCGAAGAAGATAATGACCAGAGAACTCTTTGGAAGAATGGGGATCGTAAGGTAAGACATTTAAAATCTTGAGTAGACTTGACGTGTCCATGTATTTGTACAAGAACGAGATTTTTCGAGTTTCGGTTCGAAATTTGACGCTACGGGTACCCGATTCTTTTCAGCTGGCGGTTCCAAAACCGGTTCCTTACCCGAACCGTTTCACCCCTATAACAAATGCGTACTGTAGAAACCATCATAACATTCGTTACTATGTTATAGAAACTCTGGAAGGAATGTTGTAGATGTAGTGTAGGATCGCAAACACCAGTATGATATACCGGTACATGACTTTTTTTGGGATTGTAGGACGTGCATGGCCTTCGGTAGACCTCCTACTCACTTTACTTAGCTACTAGTACTTGACATACATGTACATGTACATGTACATGTAGGTGCAATCAGTGAACATGGGGTCAGGAGTTCTTATTTTCGAGCTGGGCATCGGTAAAGATCAAAAAATTAATGGGAAAAAAATGGGGGGGGGGGTGGGTGGGTCAGAGACAATTTTGCACGAGGACGGATTTTTTAATTTTTCGATAATTACGGACTACCCCTAAGCTGCCTATATGTATGCGCCTTGATCCTTGAAGGGTGGTGGTGTTGCTACGGAGGCGGAAAACTCGGTTTCCAGCCGAGTCTCACGCGAACCGTGAATTTGTGTCGTCTATATTCAAAGAAATTTCACCTCCACCACCACCAGTGCTCTATGGCCGACCATCAAACACGCAATACGACTCCAGGTTGTAGAGATTGACAAATAAATATTTCCTCCATACAGCGCTGTTTTTGACCATTGTAAGGTCTCACCAGTGGAGGTTTAGCATAATGAATGGCTAGAACGAATTCGAAATCACAGTTTTAAACACACAGAATGAAATGAAGAACCGCGATCCCCCGCTTAGAGGTAATAGACATGCTAAGTGCTAACACACGGAGAAAAAGGTGCAAAATGACGCTGCTACGCGCCCCGTAAGAGTAGTGCAGGCATCATTGATACTTGCGCAGCAGTTTCTAGCACTCTACAATACATACATGTAAAGACAATTACGTACGTTCGGGCCTGATTGGAAATTTATATTTCCATTGCTATCAGGTTCGGCCTCATTTCCTCTGTGCTGCGCTGATGAGTTCACAAAGAACGAAACAGCATGCTGTCCGCAGATTGAGTAGTGTACATACAACCATGTAGCATACTGAAAATAAGGGTGACAGTTCTAACCTAGCGCTGCGAGTACGGTAGTTAGGCTAGAGGCCCCTGGGGCGTTCACTCCGTGAACTCACTCACCACCATACTGGGCTGTCATCGCATAGCCAGGCGTCGTCACACTGCCGTTGTCTCCATTGTACGTGGACATGGTGTTGAAAACACACACCTTACATTACAGCCACACTTGCGAACACTCGAGGGGCCCGTGTTATATTTCTCAACTCAAATTGCGGGAAGGATAAATGAATGACAAAAGTGCAGCAGCTTGTAATTTTTTTGTGATTTTTATCGTTCAATGTGTGAAGCGTATGTGCAAACCTTATAAATTTTGGACTTGGAAATTCCCAGCCCACATTAGGCCATGGTAAAAAAATAAAGTTGATTCTCAGGTCATGAGCCTGTGAAAATCGGTGCGAGTGAGCGATTTTTTATTTTATTTCCCACAATTTTTTTTATTTCCAAAGATAGGGTCACACATATGTACGTCACAGGTTATTAGAATTATTTTATTGTTCAGGCCAGGTAGTATAGAAAATTACCGGTATTTTACTACTCCCTGATTCATGCCTTTCGCATTGACCGTTTTCATGTGCGCATATGCATGCATAGAAATAAAAAAATCATCGGTGCGCCGCCAAAAATCGTAAAAAAAAAGTACTTGAGAATCAAAGATAATTTTTACCATGGCCTTACACATAATTTCTTTGCATGAACCCAGAGCAGAACGGGGTTTCATACGTGAAGTGTGATCAATGTATCCTGTATTGCAGAGCAGAACATCTCTATTATGATACACGACATCTCACCTGCTTTTCGCTGACAAATGTACGGCAGGCGAGGCTCTCCATTGCACTTCGTCATACTGATGGTTCTTGCACCAGTTGAGGTTACTGACACCGCTGCACACCTATCTCCAAAGATACTGAACCGCAGCTGCGAGGATTGACTATTATAGTCCGGCAGCGAGCGGAAACTTTCGTCCAGAGATGCGGTGATGCCGAAGTGTGCCTTGGTGTCACCCAGCGCCACTATGTCAGTCAGACAGGCTGCACCGACAGTGGTTGGATCAACGACGGCCAAATGTCCGCCAACCTGTTGGCAGTGCTCCTCAGCTTCAGTCCAGGTTTCTCTGGCGTTCACCGCGACAAGAAGGTCGATACCTCCCGAGCAGGTACGCCATGTACCACCACCTGTGAGCACAAAAGAAATCATAGACAACAAGAATACATCGAGAAAAAAAAAGTCCAAACAATCTGTATTTTGGCCTATTAGAGAGGTTCTGGAAAATGACAATGCGTAAAAACTGTCGCTCTACGTCCGAAATGCGAAACTTCGCAAAACCTTTTGCAACTTTGGACTCGAAACTTGCAGGGAACACGAAATGAACTTCGTTAAGGAAGTTGCATGAGATGGGGTCATGGCGTACGTGCACTTGGCGCGTGCAAACTAGGAAAATGTGCAGAACGCAAAGTTTGTGCGAAAATTCTAATGCACTTTCGCAAGGACCGTCGCGAAACTTCGTTCGGATTTTCTTTTTGCAGAACCTCTCTAATGTCACCTTGTGGTGGTGGTGGTGATGGTGATGAGGGTGGTAGTGGTGATTGTGGTGGTGGTGGTTGGGCACTTCTACGAGCCTGTGCCGCACAAGCAAGTTCACGCTCCGGAGGGTTATCACCCTCTTGGATCCATGGATAGTTGAGGTATCACAGAACATAAACCAAACTTATAAAATTCAAATCGAGCAACTATCAAAATGCTCTGCCTGCTCCTGTGCTGAGACACTCGACAACCTTACACCTAGCCGAGTAGGCACAGCACATCTACGAAGCGCTAGACAACCGTCTCAGTACTCTGTCAGGTTTGTGCCTAGTTGTTGAACTTCCTGACCGTATGTAGTATCTTCATAATATATTACAGTGGGGGACAGTTACTCCCAACTCGTATCCATATGTCCTTTTCCCTTTCTGCTTTTACTATTGGCTCAACATCCAAGTTTCACATCAGTTGAACTATAATAGCTCTCTGCCTTTCCCTTTGCTGCACCACCGTACTCGGCTTCTCTGTCTCGTATTCCTATGCTGTGGCACGAATTTGTACATTATATCTCTAAAGAACGAAAAAAATCACGGCTCGAGTTACATGTATACAGTGAAACCTGTCTAAGACGACCGCGCCAGGGACCTTCAAAATGTGGTCTCTGTTAGCAGGTGGTCTCCTTATCCAGGGTCATTTGACTGGACATAGCATGCCTTGGTCTTGGTTTACAGTGGTCTTCTGGGGCAGGTGATCTTCTGGGGCAGGTGGTCTTCTGGGGCAGGTGGTCTTCTGGGGCAGGTGGTCTTCTGCGGCAGGTGGTCTTCTGGGGCAGGTGGTCTTCTGGGGCAGGTGGTCTTCTGGGGCAGGTGGTCTTCTGGGGCAGGTGGTCTTCTGGGGCAGGTGGTCTTCTGGGGCAGATGGTCTTCTGGGGCAGATGGTCTTCTGGGGCAGGTGGTCTTCTGGGGCAGGTGGTCTTCTGGGGCAGGTGGTCTTCTGGGGCAGGTGGTCTTCTGGGGCAGGTGGTCTTCTGGGGCAGGTGGTCTTCTGGGGCAGGTGGTCTTCTGGGGCAGGTGGTCGCCTTGACAGGTTTTACTGTACTCATTTAGACTGTCTTTATCGTATCCATAGCAACCCCACCGCCCTGCAAAGATGAAAGGTGCAGATGCAGCTCATGAAACGGAGGGAAGTCAGTAGATCGGACCCACCACCAAGTGACCAAAAGACTGAAAAATGATTCAAAAATCCCATTCGCCGCATCCATGCTGAAGAAGTCGTTCAACAGATGATAGCCCTATGAATGAAATTGTAAGAACTGTGTCGTCCTTGGTCTGTGTGTATGTGCGTGAAAGCGTGCGTGCTTGAGTGCGTGTGTGCTTGAGTGCGTGCATACGTGAGGGTGTGCGTGCGTGCATGCGTTAGTTCATGCGTGCGTGCGTGTGTGCATGTGTGCGTGAGTGCCCTATTCGTGCTGCTCAGTCTGGGGACTTCCACATCCTAACCTCTGCGGTCAATAGATGCAAAATACACGTTTCATTACAAAGGTTGAGTTTGGAACGTCACAATACAATCGCCTACCTGAATTAGAGTTAGAGACTTGACGGCCAGTGTTCGCATCAACCAGCATGGTGATGAAAAGTAACAGACTCAGCGTCACATGCAACATGTTCACTTTAGACATCCTGACTACCATGTCTGGCCCTGTCTTCCACGGGAACGATCAAAGCCGTCTCGAAATTGCTTACTTCAACGCGATAGGTTGTGCACCAAGCAGCGCGCTTCGTTTGACAGTACCCGTGCCGGTCCGCAACTATGCAATAGTGCTGTTGAACAATACTGCGATGAATTTAAAATAGTTCCATGCATCCTGGACGCTGGAAACATTCCTCAGGGGTGTTGGCTCTGCAAACCTTCTGCATGGGCATCTTCTGCTGAATGGCTGAAGTCGAAGCTCGGTTTTAGTTCACTTCGCGCGTACGGGAACCCGTTGCAAAGCCCTTCGCGACGAAAACGGCTCCTTGATTGTAGCAAGAATGAGCCACGGATAGAGCAATCGCCCGGAAAGACAGGAGTGTTGGGTTCAAATCCCGTTCCTGGATCCTTCTGCAACAGAGATCTAAATTTGCCACGTGCACCGTCTCACAGCCACCAGCGGCGTGCATGCATCATGGTCATGATAATTGGGAAGGGTTTCCCGTACGCGTACGCGAACGAAGGTTGTCTCACACCAGTGAATTTTTTTTTGGCATGTGGGAAGGCCTCTTTTACGGGCAAAGCAAAGCACAATCATCACCATGTATCAGTACAGTGAGTAGTTAAACCCAACACGAATGAAAACATGTGAAATGGAATAAAAACAATATTTGTAAAAAATAAATAAATTAAAATTAAAATTCAATATCGAACACGAATAAAATAAAATAAAAATAAAAAAAACAAGTGAAGGCTATAACTATAAGTATCATTATTCGCGCACGCGCACCATAATGCAGCGCATATGCATGTATGACACCAACCCATTCCCTTTTGGGAAACGGCCACGTGCAGGGTGCAGGGTGCGGGGTACACCAGGTTTGGCCGGCTGGTACCTGAGTTTTTTTTTTTTTTTTTTTTTTTTTTTTTTTTTACGTCTTGATGAAGGTATCCGAGTTGGCACCTATGAATTCAGGGGATGGCCCACGCCTGGTAAAAAGAAAAGAAAGAAAAAAGAATGTCTGGCACCTATGAATTCAGGGGATGGCCCACGCGCCTGGTAAAAAGAAAAAGAAAAAAAGAAATCATATTAACAAAGAAAACTAAAGAAAAAGAATGTTTGGCACCTATGAATTCAGGGGATGGCCCACGCCTGGTAAAAAGGAAACCTGAGTACGAGTACGCTGAGCAAGAATGAGTGCCCCCGATCCGAAGCAATGGTGTAGCAACCATGTACCAGGGAGTAGTACAATATTGTAATTTTGACAGCATGTTACAAGGCGAGGATGCGCAGTGCTCCTGACTACAACCATAAATAGGGGATTCACACACACGGGTAAAACAACGGTTAGGCGAGACCGACAAAAATAGAGATTCCCGGGCCCTCCCGCACCAAAATCGAGCCAAAGCCGTTTTTTTCTTTGAACAGTTCATACATGTACAAGGTCCGTATGAAGACATCCAAGAAGAAGATTGCCTGATGAGTCCAGCGAGGACGAAACGTACGTCGCAATCGAGCTATGTCGTTGCTGTGTCATCTTCTATGTGCCATGCGCTACTTGATGTACCAGCCTGCTATGCGGGACACCACCAACCATGCATCGACCAGGCGCCAGGCGCGAACTGATGGTGGTGGTGGTGAGAAGGAGAGCTCTGTGCCAGAACTTTGCAGCCTAGAGAGCGTGTGTGGGCAGGCGTGTGTTTACCGCCATATTGCCAGGTGTGTCTTTACCACCATATCAAGAGTGCATAAACAAGAGTATGCAACTGTGGTTATGGGTCAGTGCGCGGCGCGCTGCCTTCATTACGTACATGTAACTTGCCTTCATCACGCTCTGAAAGCATGCATTCAAACTCACAATTTCTCGTACGAGCTCATCTGTTTTTGCTCGATTCGTTCCAGTACCTACGCAATCTCTAAATTCTGGCGCTTGAACTCCAGTTCCGTACGAAAGTTCATTTCAAACCAGAGGAAAAGTGCGGTGTTTGATTTTCCGCAGTGCGCGGACTGCAGCTGAATGATGTAATGAAGGCAGCGCGCCGCGCATCTGGCCCATAGAAAAGAGATCACAGTTGCATACTCTTGTTTATGGACTCTTGACAATACTGATAATAATAATAATAATCTTTATTTCAGGATTACCCAAAGGCTAATCCGTGTGAGTAGATCGTGGAGTCACACAAACCCGAGCTTGTACAACTCCAGGGTACCCTGTAAGAAGGCCTTAGGCCTGTGAGGATTGCCCTATCAAAAATTTGAATTTTTTTTGATAATAACTCCCTGATGTACAGACAGCAGATCAGGGCCATGCGTCGTTGGCCGAAATACAGAAAAATAGAACGGGTAAACCGCTTACCTGTTGTCTGTAAAAAAATGAATAAAAATTACCGGAAAATGCTGTAAAAAAAGCTCAACATGGCATGCACACATAAAGTTATGTACATACATGGGAAAAAAATAAAAAATATAATTCGCCCGCCCGCACCAATTTCACATGGGTCCTGCCCGGGAATCTCGATTTTATTTTTGTCTCGCCTTATGGGAAAGTTGTTATGGAAACTATGGTACTGGGGGAAAGGAAGAACCTCCCGGGAAAAAGTTGGCAAAGCCGTGGCCGTGGGCCTCAGGGCGTTTGTCAAGGGAAAAATCCCATGGCTATAAGACGCGCATGCGTAGATCTTGTCTTTGGCAAGAACTCTGAACCCTTGTTGTACGAGTGCATCGCAACTTGCATTTTCAGACAGTGCCCATCGGAAAATCGTGCATGGCGAATGCAAAATATAGTACAGAATGTACTACAAAAATGCAGTACGGATCGTTTTTTTAATTGCCCCGCCACAAGTTCATGGCCAAACATGCGGCCAAGGGAAAACTGACCACGGGTGTGAACGGCCCCACTCCGAAGGTCTGAACTTTTGCCTTGTCCCGTGACCTCAGGTTTCCCTGTGAGTATGAATCCCCTATAACCCGGTTGGCAGAGTCCCGGTCTTGCGACCATTTGAACCAGGGAGTTGTACAATACCAAGGGGGTATTGTACTACTGTACAGGCTAAAACATGCTGGCACTGCAACAAGCCAAATCACGAGGCAAGGGACTGCCCTGCACTGAGTACGAAGGGAAAGAAACGTGGCTGGGAGAAAACTTCCAGTCCGGAAATTGGCCTCAGTGACGACACGCAGCAGCAGCAGCAAGTGGCGTCCGCGGACATTACTGCTGGAACAGCGGACGCACATGGCATTACTGGTGCGGCAACTCCCCACAGCGAGGCACGTCATGCACCAACCCAAGGGCAGCAGGCTTGCACCTGCGGAGTGCCCCAAGGCTCTGTTCTCGGTCCTGTCCTCTTCAGTATATACACACGCGATGTCCCTTTGGTTTCCTCGCCTGTGCCAAGTGTACAATTTGCAGATGACATAGCCCTGTACGACTCCCAGGCCTCAGCGGCGGAAGCGTCCAGAACCCTCACCACAGCGGCAACTGCTCTGGCCGGTTGGCTGAAGTCCCGAGGCCTCATCTTGAACGCCACCAAGAGCCAGGTTCTGACTATCTCTCCCCAGCAGCATGTACAGGAAGTAACAGTCAAAAGCGGCGACTGTCTCCTCCCCTCAGCGTCTTCTGCGCGCTACCTCGGCGTTCGCCTTAACAATCGCCTAGATCGGGACACCCATGTAAACTATGTGGTCACCAAGGTTGCCAAGAAAATTGGCGCCTTGTGGCGGGTACGCCGAAGCCTATCAAGACGCTCTCGTCAGGTGTATGTGAAGGCGGTCATAATGCCCGACCTGCTTTATGGCTCCTGCTGTTTTTCAGCCGCAATGCGAGAGGGTCAACTGAAACGACTGCAAACCACGCAAAACAGAGCCATCCGCTGTATCGATGGCAACCCGCCCCGGACAGCCATGCAGCCGCTGCTCACTGCTCACTCCCTGTACCGTATCAGCGAGCTCTACAGGCAGAAGATATTGATCACCATCTGGCGGTGCATCCACGCCCGCGCCAGCCCTGTGCTCGCCCAGCTTCTGACCCCGGCACAAGGCACCCCTACCCGCCATCAGCAGTCAAATGGCCTACTAAGCCAGGCAAACCGTAGCCGCCGCGGTCAGCGGAGATTTTCTGTTGCTGGTGCTCTGCTGTGGAACGCTCTCCCTGGTGAGGTCCGCACAATTACCCGGCTACCTGAGTTTAAGCATGCATGTGTACCATACGCCTGTAGGGAGTAGTTCGAGTTGCTGCTGATCGCTCTGCTCTCCCTCCCCGTGCAGTTCAGTAACCCGCACGTAGTATCACAGATACATCGTATTCTCTCTCTTCCCCCGTTTACCCGCAGTTATTAGTATCCTATTCTCTTACTATGTGCTTCCATAGCTTTTACTATGTTCTTCCATAGCCACTTCTAGGCTAAGCCTTCGCCGTCATTTTATTGGGTCGTCATCCCGTTTGAATGTGCGAAGTGAAATAAAAACCAACCAACCAACCAGGCCGATCCCCAGCAGCCGCGGCTACCCCTGCCTAAGCAGAAGCAGCAGGAACAGCAGCAGCAACCAGAGCAGAAGCAGGGATCCAGGATTCCCGGTAGCCAAACGACACCTGTTATTCCAGCCTTCTGGCCGGCATCCCGGGGCAAAGCGGCCCATGCGTCTCCGGATGAGGAAGGGTTTACCCTGGCCTCAGGAAAACACACGTTTAATCCCCGCGTCCTTACCCGTGAGCAGCATCCCCAGCCGACAACCGCAGCAGTCAACATGATGATCCGCTGCCGCAGAGAAAGCTGCTAACGGCCAGTGTCCTGCAAGGTAACTATTCTAGTATATCCACGCTATAACTTTCTTATCATAATTCTCACCTATGTCTGACCTTAATCCTAATGCCGCCCCCTTTTTCCGGGTCTTTTCACTCAATCCCGTAACCCTTTGCATCATCATCATAGTTCAGGTACAAGATCTCAACCACCCCCGATCACCAGTGCTAGTAGTGCTTCTCAGTCTGAGATAGCGGGTCTCCAGATGGACGAGGTCGAGGAATTCACCCACAAGCACAACATAGACATTATTATTATTATTACTTTGTTTTACATCGGAAGCTCAACAGTGCAGCTGCACAAATATGAAGAGGCCGATGGGGGCCGATGGGGGACATACTGTGTCTTGCCGAGACATTCCTGACCTCGGAGACTCCGGACAGCCTTGTGTTAAACTATAAACTTATCCGTCAAGACAGACCTGGCTTCGGTGGTGGAGTAGCGGCCTATGTACGGAGCTCACTTCATGTTACTCGGCTAGAGGACTTTGCTCGTGGTGATCTTGAACTTCTCTTTCTCCTAGTTCACGGCCTCCATGGTAAGCTAATCCTCGGCACAGTCTACCGACCTCCTGGGTCGCTGGTCTCGTACTGGGACAAGCTGACTGATGCTGTGGACTCAGTCCACGCGCCCAGGGCCGGCACGCCTATTGCTTTGGTCGGAGATTTCAATATCGACACATCGTCTTCCAGAGCCGCTCAGCTGACGCATCTTCAACACTTCTGCCGTGACTTTTGTATTTTGAACCACGTCACTGAATCGGCGCGTGTTGGACGTGGTGGGTCCAGAACCACCATAGACCTCCTATTGGCTGAGGACGGTGCAGTGGGCTCTTGCCGCGTTCTCCCGCATAGCCTCAGTGATCACCTCCCCATCTTAGCTACCCTTGCCTTCGAAATGCCAACCGTGCCAGTACTCAGATCTAGCCGAAACACCAGAGGAATAAATCTTCCGCAGCTCTGCCAGGACTTGGTCAACTCTCGTCTAGAAGACTTCAGCACGGCGAAATCCTTGGAAGATATGTGGCAGCTATGGTATGACAAGGTCACCTCACTCCTTGACAGGCACGCTCCTATCCAGGAGCACCACATATCCAGCTCTAGACATCAGATCCTTACAAGGTCCCCATGGAAAACGCCCGTTTACCATGATGCAGTCCGCAGACGAAATCATGCCCACCATCGTTGGCTCCGAAAACCTACGGACACGGAACTTTATGACACATTTACAGATGCCCGCAAAGCAGCAAAGCGGCTTGCTCGTCAGCTGAAATCATCCTACTATACACAACTACTGGAGACGTGTCAATCCCACCCCCATAAAGCTTGGAAGGTCCTCAACGACCTCTGCGGTCGGAAGAAATTGTCCACTCCTACTCGGCTCACT